GGCTGCTTCAAGTAGAATATGAATATGTGTTGTTCTGTAGTCTTATGACATTGTGACCATTGCTGTTTTGCTGTGAGTAAAAGGGGTTAAAGGTCTTAAATTTCACAAATATATTTATAAAATCTTTTTGTTAGTCTAATCAATTAGTGGAAATTTTTATCAGGTTTCAAAACCATTTTAACTCGTTGATTTTAGTATTTTTTTACTCACATTAGAAAAATGTGAAAATACTTCTTAAGAACCACTGCTGGAGATTTTCATTAGTTTAAATGAAAGTTAATATTTAATGAAACAAGTGAAACATTTTTGCAGCTAAAAGTTATGTATAGGTATTTTAAATAAAAATATATTTTTTAGAATACAAATTTATTTATAAGTGTAAGGCTTGTTTTGTTACAATGAAGTGTATTCTTGATTGTTATGCATATTACTGCATTCAGGTTTTAAATGTTGGTGAGTGAAAGTGTTTGGTTGTTTTATATATGGGAGGAGATTACTATGATTATGCTTGAAAAAAAAGTTATTAGTTTTATAAGGAATAAAATCTGGAAAATAATTTGAAAATATCAAACTACTATGCAGCAGTGGTTCTCAACCTTTTCACCAGGAGAAACTGGCATAATTAAATATGGAAAATTTTTAAAGGCTTATCAACCTATGACAAGCAGCAACCGAGTACAAAGGTCGTAACTAGATAAGATAATAGTTTGCTTTACTTCTTTATTTACTGTTCTATGTTTTAAGAAAAATAACTTTAAGAACTAATTTCAAAATAGCAATAATTTATGTACATATATATAATGTATAATAATTGAAATGTGACTGTATTTTACAAAATACTAGTCTATTAAAACACAGCCAGGACAAGTTATTTTGTACAGACCAAAGGCCACCTTTATGTTATTTGATACGATAACATGAGTGCAGGTGAGCCGCATCATTGTAACTTCTGTATTGTTAGCTTGGCATGAGTGAAAGGTCAATATAAAAAAAATAATAAATATATATAAATGTATAATCTTATGAGATTTAAACTATTTTGTCTAAATATTTATGTTTTTGTGTTATAATATGTGTTCCAAATGAAAGATGCAGAATTTATGTTTATTTACTAATTTTTATTGTGGTTGCGAGGTTGTTCAAATCTACCGAACCTGTACAGAGATTAATTACTGAAAATAACAGATAAAATACAGTTTTTTCTTAAGAAATGTTTGATAAGTATTTAGACATTATAAAGATTTTGCATGTGAAATTCAAAATTTTATGATGCATAAAAGTATTTTTAATGTTAAGATGAAAATTACTTTGCACGATAGATAGGCAAGATGTGAAAAGAAAAAAAAGCATGAGAGAAACAACTGCTTTAAAAGACTTAATAAAAAAATTAGATATTTTGTGTGTGAAAACATTGTAATGTTTACTGATAAACTGCCAAATCTTGTTAATATTCACTTACTAATTTCAAAGTTATAGCATGAAAACTATAACAAGCACATAATGGTTACAAGGTTGGTCCTAAGGACAGAGCCCGGGTTGAAAGAGTTAATTGGTAGGGATTGCAAACCCATAAAAGAAAGGGAGATAATAAGGGGAAATTTGGGGTGTACATTGGCTGTTGGTTCAAAATTGTTGTTTAGAAAATTGCATGTAATCTTCATTAGAAAATCAATCAGATAGCCACAATCAGACATTTAACTTGTGTTTATGTACAAGGGTAATTTCTCTGTGTAAAATAAAATAATTAGAACAAAGATTAAAATTTCTGTTCAACAATGATATAACCAGATTACGTTTGAAAAAGTTAGGGATAAAACTATTGAAATTGGTGTAGAGGTTAGTAAAAGTTATTTTATGATAAACAGAGGTAGAAAAGTGTTTACCTTTTTTGGTACATCTAGGAAAGGTAAAGAATAATTTTCCTCAAGTTTGGATGTAAACTTGACATTGAGGTGTTGAGAATTAAGGTAAGAAAAAAACTTGGAAACGTGGCTTGATTGTCGAAACAGCAAGAAAGTGTCATCAATTTGTAAAGGATGGGTTTGAATTCACATGGGCAGTTTTCTAACCACTTGCATTCATAATATCATAGAAAACTATTGGCTATCATCGGACCAGCGGAGATCACATGACATCATTAAAGAGGAAATGGTTTAACTCTGTTGAGAGGACAAGAAGTTTACGGGTGAAACCAAGATACAGTGTCAGTGTGAAATAGAAGGTCCACAATTAAATCTAAAGTTTCATCAGGGGCATATTCGTTTATAGAGATTCAATATCAAAACTGACCATAACATACTGATCAGCAGAGGGAAATTTAGAGATTTCAGAAGCAAACATAAGAGTTGGTAATCTTAAATTTGTTCAAGGTGAGAGAATTAAGGACAGAAACAATACATTTTTACAAGTTGTAATTGCAAGAGCCTACAGCTGCAAGAATAGGACAGAGAGGTTATTCAGTTTTGTGTACTTTAAGTAGATCATATAGAATACCGGGTTTGGTGCCACATGGGACAATTTGTTGAAAAGTCATTTCAGAGATAATATTTTGACTTTTGAGGGTCTTGAGGAAATGTAAGATCTTATCTTCTCTCTTAAAGGTTAGGGATAACAAGTCTATCTAGTTTTTTAAATTTTCAAGGGTCACTGAGCTGGTTTATTTTATCAATATACTTAGCTTTTTTCATAATGACAAAACCATTGCCTTTGTCTGGCTTAGTAACAATAATGTCTGTTTTTAGACAGAATTTTAAGGGCTTGTAGTTCAGCATCGTTATATGGAGAGGTTAGACAATAGGAATTATATCTGTAGCATGTAGAAAAAGCAATTTTTTTTAGTTCATTTTTTATAAACTCTTGCACTGTATCGTTGTTCGATTTAGTTAACACTGGAAAAGAAGCAAGGGTTCTGTAAGCTTTTTTCAAAACTGTACACTGTTTTGTAATTTATATATATATAAACATTGTTTCATCCATCCATTTACCACTTTTCTTAACTCTTTCAGCATGGGCTAAATCCCTGGGACTGACCTCAAACATTTTGTGCTTGTCATAGTTTTCATGCTACAACTTACAAATTAGTAAGCATTTGTTAAGGAAATTTGGCAATTATCAGTTAACATTACAATGCTTTCATATGCAAAATATCAAATTTTTATATTAAGTCTTAAGGTTTGTAAAGCAATGTTTTTCTCATCCCTTTTCTTTTCTTTTCAAATGTTGCCTATCTAACATGCAAAGTAATTTTCCTTTTAAGATTAAAAATATTTTAAGCATCAGAAAATTTTCAAATTTCACATGCGAAATCTTTATAATGTTCAGATAGTCATCAAATGCTTCTTAAGAAAAAACTTTATATTTTTATCTGTTATTTTCAGTAATGAATCTCTGTACAAGTTTGGTAGATTTTACAGATCTTGTAATCACCATAAAAAATTAGGAAATAAATATAAATTATGCATCTTTCATTCTGGAATGAACACAAATTTATAACACGAAAACATAAATGTTTAGATTAAATAGCTTAAATCTCATAACATTTACATTTATATATATTTATTATATTGACCTTTCACCCGCCTGGCTAACAATACAGAACTTACAATGACGAGGCACACGTGCACTCATGTTATCGTATCCGATAACATAAAACTGACCTTTGGTCTGTAAAAAGTAACTTGTCTTGGCTGTGTTTTAGTAGACTAGTATTTTGTAAAATAGTCACATTTCAATTATTATACATTATATAGGCATAAAGGTTATTGCTATTTTGAAAAAAGTTCTTAAAGTTATTTTTCCTAAAACATAGAACAGTAAATTAAGAAGTAAAGCAAACTATTATCTCTTCTAGTTTTGACCTTTGTACTTGGTTGCTGTTTGACATATGTTGCTAAGACTTTAAAAATTTTGCACATGGAGGATATGAAACAAAATGATTTTTTGTTTTATATATACATTTGAACAACTAAAAAATCATAAATTACTACATCAATACCATAGAATTCCACTATAATATATCAAGCTTAGTAACTAAGATGTATTTTAGTCTAAAAAATATGAAATTTCGAGCAGACTAAAGACACACCCTACCTCCTCGAAATATTGGTTCAAAAGAAAGAAATGGCATCCAAGCCCGATAAAATGGCTGAGAAAGCCACTAAAGGGACTTTCTGAGCTTCCTATTGGTTATTCATGTCATATATAGAAATAAGTGTTTATAAGGGAGTGTTTCCAAAAATGGAAAGAGGTGGGCAGGGTGCCCCTGTGTTTGATTTATTACATGAGTAATATCTTAACAAATAGAAAAGATAAGATGTTCTTATTTTATATTCTGGCTAGTCAATATCGGTTATTTGAGTCTCTAAATCGCATGAAACTACAGACTTAGTATTTTGACTTCACAAACGTCTAATTCAAACAAGTGCTGAATTCAACATACTAAGTGACACACAACTATGTTATTTTAATATTTACTTTTAAATTAAGAAATTGAGTAATGTATAGTACTAAAATTTGAATTATAATCTACAGTTTGATACCAAAGGTATTGACATAAATTCATGAAATAGTAGTTCAATAAAATTTTGAATGCGAGTCAACAAACAAGATGACATGGCCTTTCACCCATGACCTGTCTCGAAAGGGTTAATAACTAAGTAAACTAATGATTATGTTATTATATTATAATTTTAGTACTAATCATCTTTGTAACAATTTTCAGATTTCGCTGAAGATGGAATAAGTTATTCCAAAATGTTCGAACCTTGTAAGTAAAATGTTTTATGTTTTATCAACTGTCTTCATCTTTATTATGAACTTTAGTTTCCCCATCATGAATCCATTGCTATTATAATTTTTATTTTACAAGTGGTTGTGTGACACAAGTTTTTGTCCATATGTAGATTAAATGACATATTTCCATCATCTTTTCTGTAGTGTGCATTTAATATACATACTAACATATATACACACACACACACCTTTATATACCACAAACTCACTTGTATCTTTGAAAGAGGACATTCTTTTTAGAAGTAATTTCATTTTCTAGTTTCAGATAGTCAACAGCTTCATTTTTGGCTCCCTCAAGTTCATCCTTCTCTTTTTCAACAGCTTTAACACGATTCAACTAAATAGACAATAATAAAATATCCAGTTTTTCATTTCTCAGATTTATATGTTTTCCAATAAAAACTTTTTTTAAGCAGTTCAATACGCAAAAGCTGTTAATATAAAACCTTATAGAAATCTGCTATATAATATGATGAGTGTAAAAATGGAAAAACCTGTATATAAAACATTAACTGTACAAATAGAAAGATCTGTACATAAGATGTTCAATGTATAAATGGATAAATCTGCTATACAAGATGTTGAGTGTACAAGCATGAAAATAAAGGCATTAGTACCTATTTACAAAAATAACTGAAGTCTTTCAATCTACAAAAACGTTACGTAGTGTATTTATTTCCTGTAGTACTATTGTTTTTTCTTTATTATAACCAGTATTAATAGAAGAATGAATAAATAATTAGCATCGCAATGAGAAATTAAAAACTAAACTATTACACTTCCTTATTACCTTTTCTGCTCTTTGTTCATTTAGTTCTTCCACACGCTGTGATAAGATTTCTATGGGCTTTTTGAAACGGCTGCATCCAATAATATCTTCTAAGAATTCCAACATACCAGTATCATGCTCAGTCTGACCTTTTGGTTTCATCATTGCAATTTGTTCAACTTCTCCCTGGTTAAACAATATACCAGTAAACATCTAACCTATAACAACCCTTTAAAATACCATGGGAAATAATTAAATGAATACAGATTAAAAATTAGCACAGTTACAACCAAATAGCTGCATCAAAAAGACTTTTTACGCCTCTTAAAAAACATGTAATTAAATTTTTAATGTAGAACATTTCAGAATAGGTCTAAATATTCTTAAAATTCTAAAAATTACTTCCTGAGCAAAGTTACAAATAAAAATCTGGTAAACATTCATGAAAATGACGAAATATTCAAACAGACATTTCCCATTTTTACCATTCTGAATTTTTAATATAACTAAGATCAAAAAAGTACAAAACAGATAACTTTTTTAATATCTTTTTGTAGCTTTTCACTGTATACAACACCTTTATATTATTTACTTGGACATAAGCTTTACATCTAGATCTAACAGTAAAGATTTCTTCTGTATGAAACAATGACCATAGAAATGATTCTTAAAATATCTTGCAGAAAGAAATTTGTGTGTGAAACTTCAAAAAATGTGCCTGTTCTTTCAGCCAATAAAAGTCAATAACTGATTCAAAATTCAACATTATAAAAACTCAAAATTCAAACCTAGGAAGTTAGAAAGTTCTTATTGTAAGAGTGGAATACATTTTCTACTAAAAACTCAAATTAATGTTTGACTCCAACCAGCCAGAAATATAGCATCATCTGCACTTTAAAATTACATTTTAAAACCACTTCAAACTTTTATAAATGCTTAGATTTTTTGTTTCTACAAAGGTTTACCCCAAACTCTAACTATAAAGGTAACATCAAAAGTTTTCAGTAGACAAACATCTATACATTCCACACAATTCAGTTTCGCAAGTAAACTTTAAATTTATTTTTCCAGTCACTGAAAAAAAATATTTAAAACATTATTTCAACATTTTAAAAGTGACACCATCAGCTGAAAATAACACAAGTAACATTAAAGAAATATTTGGATCTTGCAGACTGTGTCTATGAATGATCAAATTATACAAAGAAACATACATGAAATTTCTATTGTACCAAGACAGAATCACTGCTTAAAGAGCTTCAATCTATATATGTATTCAAAAGTGTAATTGATAGCTATTCCATAGCTGTTATTTTAAATAACTGTGTTGCCCAGTGTTTTTGGTAGACAATATTAACCTTTTTCATTCAGGCTTACACTGTTACATTCAATATTAAGTAAATTCTTTCCATACGACGAGATCAAAGTGCATGTCAAAAAATCTCAAACTACATTTTTCTGTGTCACATTATGCATACAAGCTCCAAATTCTTCACTTCAGAATACCATAGCTTCTAAAATAAGTTGTGGCAATCTCCACGTAAGCACATACACAACTACAAAACTTGAACCTCCAAACTTCTTTATTTGCCAAGATATCAATACATTTGTTACACTCATCACAAAAGCCCCTCCTCTCTTTCTCATTGACTTTCCAGATTATTTGCTAATCAACTTTGCAAGACTGATAGACATATATTTATAACAAATAGAAATAGATTCTCCTCTTTATAAGACTCATTGTACCTATTTGATTTTGGTGTCCATAGAATAACAGTTTACCATAGTTTCTTTGTATTCTAGCTCCAAGTGTCTAAAGACATTTTAACCTACTTCTAACGTATTTAGAAATTTGGATAAACAACAGTAGTTTTGATACTTTCTACTGACTGATATTTTTTGGTTCTAAAATGCATATCTGAAATCTTTGTGGGAAACCCAAATTTTTAAGACTCAACAAAGCTTTTGGAAGAGCATTTCCAATTTTTAACTAAGTGCAAATGAGCTTGATTTAATACATGGTAGGTAGGAGTGCACTGATATATTAATATGCTTTCAGCTTTGCACCAATATGAGAAAAAAATTACATTTGTCAGTTATCAGCAATTTTTTTGTTGTAGCTGATAATGTAAACAGATAGAATGTTGGGAAGTTCACAGTTTGAATTTCATATAACAGCCCAAATAGTCATTATCACACAACTCACACTATGGCCATGTACCATTCTACAAAGGCTATCAGTTTTAATTTTGTCAAGTATACCAAACACTGATCTTCATAATACTAAACTTGATGCAACAGTACAGTAATGTGTTTTTGCCAGTTTCTTAAAATTACAAGCATCTGAATGTTAATTTAAAGCAAGTCTTCAATAACAAGATGATTTCTAAGCCTTTGGTTACCAGGTCCTTATATTTCAAGGACTTAATATAACACTCATATTTCGTTCCAAAAATAAAACTAGTATATGAAATTGGTCAAAATTTGACAGGAATTTTCCTAAATGTATGTAGTTTCAGAAAAATATTTAACTTAGATTTTTTTCTACTATTTTTACTAAAAATTCATTACTTATTGTACATATTTGTACTCAGACTCTGAATAGTTGAAGTAAAAGGTGATTTTCATGCTAAGTATAAAAACACTTTTTTTATCATACATTTTTCAAATTTTACTTGCATAACCTCTAGAACTTCCTATATGAACATAAAAAGTTTTTTAAGGTAAATGTTTATATTTTATTTTTCATTTTCTCTACCATATCACTAACTGTAGCTATTTATCATCAACATACAGTACAATGAAATGTTTAAAATTAAGAAATAGAAATATGTTCATACTTTTTAACTCTTCATCAAATAAATCATAAAGTACCTTGAAATAATAGAACAGGAAAAATAAATCGTCTTGACAAATTGTGTTCTAAAGTAACTGAACCAGCTTGTGTGGACTTTGACAAAAAAAAGAGAGAATTATTTAAGGCTTTGGATACTACTGCGATAACCAACAGTGTAACAAACATTTGTATATAAATTTGACTTTAACATATTATTTTAAAACAAGTAGACTATGTGCTGTTTGTTTATTGTTGAAATTTATTGCCAACAAGTCACGGACACCTACTGTAAAGAATCCTGCCCATAGATACATAAAACCTGACACACATTATCTTTTACATTCACTCACCTGTAAAATCAAAAACCTGTTGTGGTCTAGATCAATTCCATGAGATCTAAGCAATAAAGCAATTTGTTTGAAAGGAACCCGTCTTTCATTGATGGCATACCAAGATGAGTTGTCTTTGTAGGCAGTACGAGAAACAACAAACTGAGAGTTGGGTACAATTTCAAATCCATCTTCAGGCTTAGTGGAAAAAAACAAAACATTCTGATTAGATAATTCATTATATTATTAAGAAGTAATTTTCTTAAGCAACAACACAAGAAATATTATCTTATTTTTAGCTGATCTAGTTCCATTTAATACCCTATGAAAAAAACTGTCATTTCTTTGTACAACACTTCACAACTAACATAAATAATCACCATATCAGGTGCTTGAAAATATACATGAAGGATATTGTAGAACTATCCTGAAAAATTACAAATATCAGTAGCTGCAAGCCCACAAGATGTTGCAATATTATCCTAGATTTTTAAAATGACATCAATGACTGATGAAAAAGTTTCAAAAAGCCAAAATGTAAGAATAGTTTGACTGTTTATCAAAGTTTTGTATAAAACTATTCAAAAGTTATCTGAAGTTATAAGAATTGAATGTCAAATGGAAAAATATAATCATCTCTTAAAAAAACAAAGATGAATTATTCACTAATACAAAGATGCATACAAGTGGGATCCTTTTCTGTCACTGATGATGCCCTACAATACATATCAAGCAGAAAATATCTTGAAGAAATGTTGGCTTCATCAATAACCTGCAGTGACTGCCCTACATACAAAAATCAGTCAATCCAAAATACTTATATGGGGTGATGGATTACCATCTATTTTCCTAGGAAAACATGGTACAATTCTAAAGTAATATTTCTGCTAGAAGGGATAAAAATATATATATTCAAGTAAACAAGCAATCCATGCATGGTTTAAAATAATATTTATATGACAGAAAAGTAGAAGATTGTTTGTTTGTTGAATTTTTAGTAAAGCTACCTAAAGGTTACCTACTCTAGTTGTCCCTAATTTTGAAGCAACAGACTATAGAAAAAAGATTTTCTAATCAACATCAAACCACTGCAAACTCTTATACAAGACAAAATAGTAGGATATGATAATCACCCTTATAATGCACCCATGGACACAAAGTGTGGAGTTGTGTTATTTTTGGCAGTACCAGGCCACAACCAATGGAACCTGAAATCCACTATCTGGCTTATTAACCAGTGGGACATGTTAGGCCCAAAAAGTAGACAAATAAAGGAATGAAGTATAACAAAAACATCATTGTGAACAAAAAGAAATAAATAAAATGAAAATATAAAAGATATAATTAAAGCTTTTTACAAAAAATAATATGTGTAACATTATTTGTATCTTACTGAAAAAAATTAAATGTTCCTCTAATAACATGTATATCTGTAATAAGTGTAATCACATTTGGAAACCAAAGATATAAAGAAAAATTCATATAAATAATCTATCATACCCTTTAATAGTTGTTTTGGAAATCAAAAGATATGACAGATTATAAATATCTTAGACTTTCAATGTGATGATAGTATATGAATTTGGTAATGTATAGAAAAACATGAGAATATACGTGTAATGTATTCTTTTCACTTCAAACATTACTTATACAAGATACATGGATTTTAATTTTTTTAAGTATAAAAAAAGAACAAAATCACAAAAATAGGTTCACTTTTTACATTTCAAGTAACACATTGAATCTGTCTAGAATACAAATATTTTTACCCTTTGCCAATGTTCAAGAGATAACATGGAACCAGAGGCCATGTTAATGCAAATATTTTGCATCCTGGATGCAAAATAAATAAACTGGACTAAAAAAAACATCATTCTGCATTCAAAAACACATTAAAATGAGAAAGGGATGCAATAAAAAGAAAGGCATATATTAACCCTATACAAACTAAGATTTGATTCTTTCAATGGAAAAGCCCAACATGGAACATTTCAACTATAGATGTCAGATCAAAATCTTCACTACTATAGGCCTAATAACTTCATTTCCGACATGTGGTCTTAGTGCTTTTTAAAATGCGTAATACCTGAGGATATTTTTCAATGTTAAACTGCTGAAGTTTTCCTTTTCATTTATTTCACTCTTAACTTTGTTTTTTTCTTTGCCATTAAATATGATTAAAATTAAAATTCAAGATGATACAATGTTCCTTATTTTGTAATTTAGTTTTAAGAATTTTACTTTTTCATGAATGCAAAACAAGTTGTAAGACTGACACCATACAAATCTCAGCATTTACTTTTATTGAAACCTGAATTCAAATTAAAAAATAAATCCAAGTATTAAGAAATGAAATATATACTAATAAAAACAACTTCTACAACTTTCATAAATTACACTTAATAACATTTTATTTTAAATCATTAACAAAAATAATATTTTTCAAAATCAGTAAAAAAAACTAATATAATTTTTATGAAAACAATAACTCTACAAGTTACAAATCAAATCAGTTTTAAATTTTAATTAGCATTAGCCATTTCTTGTGAACCATGTATTTGAAGCCCTCCGAGTCGAATTGCAACAAAATTAATGAAAATCACACATATATGTATTAACTTTGTGTTTTCTAAAAACTTGAAAGTAAATGAATCACTGGTGTAAGCTACCAAAGAATATGAAACAATGCATAAGTCCTGACTGATATGTGGTTCAGGATGACCTCACTTTAACATTTATCAGATTTAAGTCAAAAGGTCATTGAGTTACATATAGTCATGTTTTCTTAATTAAGCTTCATTTTCAGCAAAATGTCAAGACTACATTTCAATTATACAAACAAATGGTAGTTAAGTGTTTGAAAACAGCCTCTGAAAGTTGGGATGCACATTTTTTGGCACATACATTTTGGAATGAGTAGACAAAAAAGCTAGCATGATCAGTATGGTACTTTATACAAAACATATGATACTTTTGTCAACAGAAAGAAAACTGTAAGAAACACATTCTTAAAACCAAGGTTTAAAAATGTACAGAAATCAGTACAACGACATATCCTGAACATTAAGGTAAGATAATTGGGAATAAATACCTTGTAATGAGAATGCCTACAGTGTCGTCCCTTTTTGTTTGAAACTTTTACAAGTGGAACACTATTAGCATCATCACCATAAAGAGTATTATTTTCACATTCTAATGAAAAAAAAAAATGCCACAGTACTAGAAATACAAATTCTAACCTTACTATACCTTAACCCTCTCACTATGGGCAGATGGAAGTGGATGTCAAAACTTTTTAGAGTTATGTTCAAAATTTAATTAAATTACTTTATTCAGTCCTTCATTTTAATAAAATACAAGGACAACTATAAATTGCTCTCCCTAAATTACAAGAGCAAATTGCTCTCCTCAGAAGAAAAATTATTTTTTTATTGTACAATAAATAGTTTCTACTTCTTCCTCCAACCATCTAAATTTGTTTCTAACTGAACTACCAACTTCTTCAGCTCTCATGTCATTTGATAACATTTTTTAACTACATTCATTCAGTCTTTAAATTGAACTTACATCCAAAAATTTTCAATGAAGTTTTTGGCCAAAAAATCCATGAAGTAAACATATCATTTTCTAAGATCAGGAAAATGCATTAATTAGATTCAAATTAGTAGTTATACATAAAATATCAAACAATAGAGAAGATGTCATTGTTTAGTTGGGTTCAAATATTGAAGTTCTTGTTTATAAAAACTTGACTTTGAGCATGTTTTATTTTTGAGTAAGTTATTCAAATGGTAAAATAGGCAGTAAATGATTACCCTTCCCTTCCAACTTTCTCCTGGATTATTGTGAATCTCTCGAAAGACCATGGGTGACATTAAAAACTCAAAAATCTGCTGATTGGACAAAAAATCCTATCCCTCAATACTAGAATCTACCCAAAGATTTAATACCTGTCAGTAACATTATAGTAGTTCCAACACTGATTAATAATATAACAATGGAATATACCTAGAGTTTTGTGACCCATCACTAAAACTCTAGGTATATTCCAATGTTATATTATTAATCAGTGTTGGAACTACCATAATGTCGTGACACATCACTGACATTACAGTAGTTCAAATATTGATTATTAATATACTACTGGAATATACCCAGTCTTAAGATATTATGGTAGTTCCAACACTGACTAGTAGTTCAGTTTTTGAATTTACCCAATTTTAACATCAATCAGTGACATTCGGTAATTCCAACATTAGTAGTTGAATATCGGAATTTACCCACAGTTTTAACCATATAGCTACAGGTAGAAGTCAAAGTGCATGTTATCACATTTGTACACTTGCATTCATAATTTTATTGAACTACTATTTTACGAATGTATGGCAGTAACTTTGGCATCAAATTATTGATTACAATTGAAATATTAGTATTATAAATTAGTTAATTTAAAAGTAAATATTAAAACAAAATTCCTAAATATAAATTTTCATGTGTCACGTGGTATGTTGAATGCAGCCTTGGTTCCAATTACAAAGTCTATAATTTCTTACAAAATAGAAACTCAAAATACCAATATTGACAAGCTAAAATAGAAAATAAGAACTCCTCATCTTTTCTACTTACTGAGATATTACTATATTTAGCAAATCAAACACAGTGGCCTAGCCCACCTCTTCCATTTTTGAAAATATTTGTTTACGTACACACAGCTTTGTTCATGTGTCTATAACCAATCACAAGCTCATAATTCCCCCCCCCCCCAACAAGGTTTCTTGGTCTTCACAAGGTGTCTATTCTCCAGAAATAGTCTTTTTGTTTTGAAGCTTGAAGAGAAGGGGTAAGATGAAATAGTGAATGAAAAATTATATTTTTTTAGACCCAAATACAGCTTTGTTAGTAAGCCTGATAAATTAGTGGAATTCTGTAGTATTGGTATAGTAATTTATTTTCAAAATTCATATATAAAACTTGAAAAATTATTTGTTTTACATCTTCCACATGCAAGATTCAACAACAATCATAATTAGTAGAAATCACTGTTTTCTATATTTCTTTACTTACCGTTTTACATTTTAAGAAAAATAACTGAAATTTAATAATTTATTGTAATAATATATATATATATATGTGTGATGCATTATAACCAAAACGTGATTGCATTTAAAAACAATCTGGTCCATTAGAATCTTAAAATCAAAATTACTTTGCATGTTGGACCAATGGGTGATATTATGGTAGTTCTAACACTGACTAGTAGTTAAATATTGGTAAATAGCCAGTTTTAAGACTTAACTCTATCTTCATTTGGTAAATAGTACATTACATTAGTTTAACTGTTAATTTTAAGATATTTGTTTAGCAAGGTTTACTATGTAGTTACTTATGAAATACAAAAGATATTACTTAGCCAGATAAGTGCTAGCTGTTACAGCTACTACAACAACTTACAGCACTTGACTCTTCTGATGAAATGAAATATTCATTATTAATTGTTTTCTTTTAATTGTGATGACTATGATTTAAATATTCTTTCAACAATTATTTTTAAACATCCCAAAGTTTTCACAATAATAAGGAACTTAGTAGACACCTCTTGATAGAGCTGGATACTGGCAAAGTTTTTATATTGCAATATACTGCGAAATAGAAGGCTGTATCACAATATATTGTGAGCAAGAATCTTAGCTAATTTTTGTATTATTCATTCCACTTCATTTTTTATAAACAAAGAATTCTGGGTGGCATAATTTGCAAAATGCATGTGTGGGGGAATCCAACAAGACAAGAATTGAGAAAATACAAACCCCCTGTGTGACATCATTTTCAAAAGGTATTGAGAAAAATATGACAAATTAACATAAAGATGTGCCAAAAAATCACAGATACACAGTCTTAAACTATCAGGATAAACAATTATATATCCTTACCTTTTGCACATGAAAGTTATTTACATTTGTCCTATCTCACATTCTCAGAACAGACTTAAATATGGCAATGTGAGATAGGAATATCCAATTAGCCATTTTGAAGTCTTACTGATATACCGTGAGTGGTGCTCATTTATAATGTCAACAAAGACTAGAATTTCCACTGTTTCTTTGTAAGAATGAATGATTTTTTGTCTAAATCCTCAACTAGGGCTGTTACATACACATTATTATATAATTATTGCATTCTAATTCAAATAAATGTTTTTTAAGTATCAACACTAGGATTAATAATTTATTTTTTTTTTATATACACTAATTTTTATTAACAGAAAGTAGTCTAGATATAAAGTTATAATTTTGTGACAAGAAAACATTTGGCAAAACGTTTTTAGTTTTAATTTATCTAATAACTACATTTCACTTCTGAACAAACTAAGAAGTGAAAATTATCACAACACTTCTCAAAGGACACACACACAATGAAGTCTGCACCAAGGTAACCTTACATTCTATATAGATATTTTCTCCAGGCAACAAGAATTCAAAAGTAAAAAAATAAACAAATAACCTTTTAACTACAACTGATTTTCAACACTTCGATGATATAGAAACAGTTAAAAATACCAAAATATTATTATTTATTTATTATATTAAATTTTATGCAAGAATTTTTAGAAAATACTCAAATATTTTATATCAAAAGAATTAACCACAAGAGCAAAATCTAACAAGTTAAAATAAGTTTTGTTCACGGGTATAAGTAGAGATGGGAAACCCAAGGTAGTCCAGAAAAAAGTTTCTTGTACTAATTCTTTTTCACTTTTTTAAAGTAATTTGGCATTTTTTTCATATGTTTTTTGCTTAGAGCTCAGATCTTTATCCGAGTGACCCATTTTTATAAGCAATATTAACTTTATACAATATATGATAAATAAATCAAAGCAGGTGCTCATTATGCCTAAACTTTGTCTAAGCTAATAGTCAGCCAATCAGACTTCACACCAGTAATTACATTAACAGGTACTTTTTATTTATTTGTAAAATTTTCATTCTTTATAATTTTCTACTTTTTATTACTGACCTTAAACCATTTACATACCTTGTCAATTATCTCTTGAAAATGAACTTTGACACAACAACTGTCAATGTTAGAATGATTCTCACTATTATGAATGAGAACACTGATCTTCTTGGATCTTATCCGTTGAGCACGGTATCCAAATACAAAAAGCATTGAGTCTATAACATTGGACTTTCCACTTCCATTTGGACCAACAATTGATGTGAAACTCTGTCACAGTTTAAAGAAAGAAACAATCACTCTTTGAAAAGAAATGAATACACTCAGAATAAATAAATTTAAAAGATTCAAAACGTTACTTTATAGCAGTCATCCTAATGTTTTTTAAAAAGTTCATTTCAAGTTTTACCAAAAGTGGAAGTATTTGTTCCTGTATGTTGCTCACTGTGTTTTTCTCAGTTTTTTTATGTTTCACAATGGTTTACAGAATATGTAGCTTCCTCTCATTCTGTGCCCTGATAAGGATCTTGAAGAGACCATCAAAACAGGAAGAGAAAACAGTGATCAACAACCATTAACAAGTGCTTCCATGTTTATCATAACTTGTAATATTTAATGAAACCAGAATAGGTTAAATTTTCTAACAAAATAAATATTTATATTAATTTAGGTTTATTTAACAGTTTCTTATAGATTTTTCTCTATTTCAATAAAACTGTGTACTCATTTTTTTACTAAATTTTAAATATATTTGATTTCTGCTTAAACATCACAGTAACTCTGTACAAATGGCACTGATTTTTAAATTTTATTCTCATGTACCAAAAGATATTAAGGGTTGAAAAGTTCCACCTGTTCCCAAAATGAAAATTATATAAAAAATATTGTGTCCAAAAAATAATAACATTTTCTAATGTAAAATATTAGTGAAGATTTACAAAGCAGTAATGCATAAACATCAGTAGGAATAATTACTGCCTACACCCAAAATTTCTTTGCATATTTAAATAAGAAATCCTATACATTACATAAGGTAAAATATGGACACAAAATTATTTGGTCTTTCAAACTGTCCTTACACACCCACCTTTGACAAAAGCCAAAATAAACAAAACATTGTATATTATAATTAACTTCTGATAAAAGCAAGTTACCTACATAAATGAGAACTAAATATTAACTCAATAATTAATACTGGTAATTTAATAAACCTGTCTAAATAGAAGTATGCAATGTCATCAAATAAAAATATATAATGATTAGAATGCATTATTTCTCCAGCTGTGTACCCTTGATATTAATGACACTTTATTTACAGTAGATTACAAAAATAAAAACTGTTTACTTTGTGAAATGGTCCTAATACTTGTTTCCCTGCATATGATTTAAAGTTGAAATTTTCAATATGGGTAATTATTAATCTTGGTCCTGTAGAATCAAAGGTACAAGCAGGTGGTGGTGGTGGAGCAATATATATGTCTCCAATCCCTTTAAAGTGAAAAACAAAATGAGTGTATTAAAAAACAGATAACAAACATCAATATATATACACACATATAGCATTTATTGCAATTATAAATGTGCACTGCAACATTAAATATCTAATTAGCTTTGAGATGGAGCTACTTACTCAGTAAAAATTTCACTGTGGTAATAAAATGTGTAAAAAAATGTAGTCACGGTTTTACTATATATAATATTTTAAATAATCTTTGATAAACTATATGTTGTGTATCAGACAAAAACAAAATATGAGTGCCAGAAGCTGATTGGCTCCTCTATTAACTCTAGCATTCATGGTCTGTTTTTCTAATCAATGATTTAAACACAATTTAAAACATACTGTCTTTTGATTTAGCAATAAAACCCAAATATATTATACTGGCAGCAATAGGTTCAAAAGATATCAGCTCAGCTGGGTCATTAATAAATTTCATATCACCTAGCAATTTTTTCTGTGACTTTAGATAAGTATAAAACTAGTACCATTTTTTAATCTGAAAATCTATACAGCTTTCCATTAAATCAAGCTGAAAAGATCTAACATACCTTAAAATTGTAGTCCTTAGTTAAGCTTAATAATAATTTTGATTTCCAATGTGACCAGTTTTAATTTCACAGCACACACTTTTACGTTTTGTTACTGTTGTTTAAACACTTACTGACACCTCCTTCCTCCTCTTCATCTTCTTCAGTGTCATTATCTACATCCATATGTTCCGATTCTTCTAGATTCTTTTGTTTTCTGGTCATTTCTTCAGTTTTATCTAATTATATATATATTTTATTTTATTTTTTTATTTAAAAGGTTTCTTACATTACCTTACCATATGTAAACAAAGTTGCACCATGTATGGACATATTAGTAAACATGTTCATAATATGAGCTAACTGTACCTACAATATATAACATGAAAAAAAAGGAAGTTTATTATTCATATCACAAAAAATATTGTAAGCTGTAAAAAAATTTAGAAACTGACAGTTATCTCTCCTTCACAAGTTTCAGTGAGTCTAGAAACAGCCTAGTACAACTTCATTTTATTTTTAGTAAAAAAAAAATTCAAAATAATAACAGATTATATTAATAGCCTATTTTCCCCTCATATAAGATCATTTTGCAAGCTCTCTAAATTGCTGTTTTTGAAATATATTTTTCATCTTTACAGGAATGTAATTAAATGGGTAAAATGGAAAACACTGGGAAGAGTATTGTAAGAGTAGTAGAATAATTATTTTTGAAAAATTTCAGCCCTTCAAACTTTGTAGTTTAGTTTTAGAACACTTACTCATTTTTTTTTTGTATTTTTTCCACTTTATTGCTTTCATCACCAATGACAAGAAAAAATTACTACCAAAAGTAACATGCTATATAATACAGAGACTTTAACGTTTAAGCATTTAATTACTAATAATAATACTATGTAGATAAATTTCAAATTTCATATTTTGTAGTTCCTAATTCCTATCAAGCCCCAATAAATAATGAATGGAATCGTTCTTAATTTTTTATTTTTTTTCAATATTAACATCAAACTATACAAATTACACTACTGTGATATCTTCTTTTACTTTTAAGTTCTTGGTCATAATAAGTGTTTGAACATTTTCTAACATCCTAACTTAGACCAATTAACTTATTAAGAATGTAATACTAATACGCGTCAAAACATTTAATATAACTTAATTATTATACACTACACATATTTGACTAAGAGTCGCCAAATTATCCAACAGTAGAGTCTAAGTGTCTTTCAAAGAAGTAGTTAATTACTAATTAGTTTACAATTTTTACATTAGTCGCTATGAATATAAGTATAATGGGGGTAGACATAAGGACATAAACTATACATAACGTACTCGACAAAGTTAAATTTTAAAATTTAAGTTTAACTTTTTGAGTTGGTTATGTGTAGTTTTAATTTAAATTAAAATGGATCTGCAGCCTACTTCAGACTCAGTACTTGGTCATACGTCATTGTTACATGACATAGTGAAGGTAAAGTCTAGTTATCAAACTACTAATTACAGTATCTTACAAATACAGTAAATATTTAAGCTAAAACAAATTAACTCACTAACTGTAACACGTAAGTTCAGAAACAATTGTTCCTTCGCTCTTCTTACGTCAATCCTCAGCAGTCAACATTCCCGCTTATACAACGCCTAATGACAGTCCACTAAGTGCGCTCCCTCTACAAATAAAATAAATAAATAATACTTTTAATATTTTATCTTTTGAATTATATGTATAACTCAATAAGTACGCTCATTTGTTAAGTACTAAACTGCTTCAATGTTTAATGCGTTCAATTTGACCAATAAAACAGGAATTTAAACCATAATGAATGATTTTAATTATATCTCAATCCCATGACAATTATTCAGGCACTGTATAGAATCAAAGACTTTGCGAGATTAGCGGGAAGTTAGTGCATTAAATGTTTGTATTAAATGTCATACATTTTTTACAGAGTAGACAAATAATAGATTATTAAAGTCAAATCAGCACAAAATGAACATATCCATTTGCGTAAAAGTACATAAGGGCTGTCACGCTAGTCGTCCCTAATTTGGAACTAATAGATTAGAAAGAATGTAGCCAGCACCAACCGCCAAAGCTTTAAAAATTTAAAACGGGATATTGTTACGTCTCTGGTCGTTTGTTAATTTTTCGTAGAATTTTTTTCCGAGAAACTTCAGCGATATAAGTATTTTCTTAAATAAAACTAGTTGTTACGTCTCCGATCGTTAGTTAATTTTCCGT